TTTATTGTGGCTTTGTTCACAATAGCAAGGAGCTGAAAACAACCTAAGTGCCCATCAACAAACGAATGGATAGAGAAGCTGGGGTATATTCACACAATGGAATACTATGCTGCATTGAAAAATAAGGAACTCATGCAATATTATTCAAAATGGGTGACCCTGGAGGACATTACGCTGAGTGAAGTATCTCTGTCACAAAAGGACAAATACTGCATGGTGCCACTGTTGTAAAACAGGACTGACATCGGGGTGGGGGAGACTGAGAAAGATGGGTTCAATAATGTAGACTGCATTGAAACAGATGAGGAAGAAAATTGTTTAAAAGGGATATATGATTAGGTATTTTTGTCATGAGAGGAGTCCAGAGCGAAGGCTGCATAGTGGAGTGGACCTGGAGGAGAGTTTGTAAAACAATGAAAGAATTTTACTTTTCCAAGAGGGTAGTGTACTAGGGGGGGAGTGTTGGGAGGGGAGAAATATGCAACAGTAAATGAATAGAAACCCAAGGTCTCTGTAAATTTTCACTGAAATTAATAATAAATTTTTTTTTAAAACCTGCAATATTTGCAAAGCAAAGTGAAGCAAAGTTCGCCTGCACATTTTATTGCCCCTTCTGTCGTTCATGAGAGGAGTATAGTCTTGCACTTTGCTTCATTCCTTATTTTACATTTTAAAACATTGCTTGATCTAAAGCTGTAGATTTATTGTTAAGTATGTTGTAATATACTCTTGAGTTGTAACTGACTCATAGCTGACCTTCCAGTGAGTTTTCAGAGGCAGTAAATCATACTGGAGGAGATTGCCCATCTTTCTCCCACTGAGCAGCTAGTTGATTTGAACCATGTACTTTTGTGTTGGCAGCCCCATTCTTTACCACTAAACCATCAGTGTGTACATTTTTCTTATCAAAACTGACTTTGTAGCATGTTATTTATTCTGAGAGATTAATTCTGTATTCCCTGATAGCAGTAGCTAAAAATCTATTAAGACATTTTCAATATCAGATACAGTGTACAGACCTTATATATTTCCTTTTAGTCTAACTCTTCTTGCAACCCTAGAAGTAGAGCTAATGTCCATTTTATAGTTGAGGAAACCAAAGTTTGGAGTTGAAACAACTTGCCCAAGGTTTCTGATTAGGTCAGTTGCCAATGTCATTATAATGTGATATTATTGTTCTGCTCTGGGCTTTCACGGTTACAAGGACAAAATGGAGATCTTAGGAAAAATGAAATACTGTCAGAAACTGTTATAGTTCTGCTCCTTTCTCCCTCAGCCCTCATACTGTTGTCCTGCCTGTGGCTTTGTCTTGCTCTTAAAACAGTCTGGATTTATCATCACCCTTGTCGTTTCCTTACCACCAATCCATCACTATTAATTTTATACAAAGATAATTTGATTCTCTGCCTGTCCTTTTCAGTATCCTGTCAGCAGGTCTTCACTGTCATGTTCTTTGGCAGTTTTAGAGTGGACGGGGTAATACATTTCATTGATTAAAAGACGAGGCTCTTTGAATCAGCAATAACCATTGTTTAAATCAGACTTGAGTGTAATGTGGAGAAGGCGTGATACGGTGGATCATATGATTAAGAAAAGTTCCTAGGTTGAATGGAAGTGATGAGAAGGCACGTGGGTCAATGTCTGTGATATGGAGAAGGCAGGGAGGGTGAATGAGTCTGATGCTGGATGAATGGGTGTAACGTGGAGAAGACAGGAGAGAGAATGGGTGTTGGTGAGCTTATCCTGAAGCTGTGGGCTCTCATAGAAGGACTTTAGGAATGGGAGGAAAAGGGAGAGGTTTGCATTTAAAGACTTCTTATGGCTCAGTCTTAGTATATAAACTGATGCCTGTTACTGTGTGTTATCTTTATTTTGAAGAGAGTTGATTTCAAAACCGCAAGGGTGAAAAAAGTTTAAAAATTTCAAACAAACTAAGGGTAGGACGTTTAATTTTCACTTTGTTTCTTATTCTTTCTATCCATTTATATAAAAAGATTACAATTTGGAAAAAAAAAAGATTACAATTTGGAATTTCTTTCCTGAAGCACATTAGAAATTCCAGTATGGAGGTGTTCCCCGCCCCTCCAATCAGCAATCCTGAGATGTAATTTACATTGACCAAAGTGTGCAGTTCAACAAGTTTTGAGAAATATGCACACGCCTAGTAAGTCCCGTCAATTAACATGTAGCCGGTTTCCATCATCCCAGAAAGTTCCTCTGTGTCCTTTGCACCAGGGTTCCTGCTGTCTCCGCTGTCTTTGCCTCTCTTGTCAACATTTGATCTTGCCTAGACACTATTGTGAAATCTTAAGGCATAAAAGGTATAAACTTATGGCAAAAAACTTAAGGCAAATACTTATGTATATAATTTGATGCTTGACATATATCCTATTTTCTGTCATATATTAAATGATCCCAGCGCTTGGCAGATTCATCACACAGGCATCAGAGATACTATTGCTTCAGATCTAGCCCACCAAAGTAAAGCTAGTTTCACTACGGAGTGGTGGTGGTGGTGGTGTGTGCTGTCAAGTCAGAATCTACTCATAGCTGACCCTCCAGTGGGTTTTCAGAGGCAGTAAGTCATAAAGGAGATTACCCATCTTCCCACAGAGCAGCTGGTGGATTTGAACTGTGTGCTTTTGAGATGGTAGTACAGCTTCTTACCACTATGCCACCATTGTATGACAATAAACTAAGCCCCACAGATTTTTTTTTACCATAATCAAGTTTTAATGATGGCAGTGAGACATGGAGGAGGAGGAGGGTCTGCTAAAGTTGGGGAGAGAAGTGAATGAAGGCTTTCAGTTATTCAGAAAGAAAAGAACAAGAGTCAACAGGAGCGAAACGCGGTGGAATGGCAGCGGGGTGAAGCGGGAGCCCCCAGCCCCGCGCCCGCAGGCGGCCCTTTAAGCCCCACAGATTTTTTCGTTTCTCAGTACATGTAAAAGTTCTGTCTTATACTATGCTGTAGTCTATTAAGAACAGAGTTCTGATGGTATAATGTGTTAAGTGTTGGACTGCTGCTTGAAAAATCAGCAGTTCAAATCCACTAGCTACTCCTTAAGAAAATGATCTTCTGCTACAAAGATTTATTCTTGGAAACCCATAGGAGGAGGTCACCATGAGTTATAATAGGCTGCATAGTGGTAAGTTTGGCTTTGGTTTGCTTGTCTGTTAAGTGTGTAGTGGGCATGTGAGCACTGGTTCCTAGTGGTAAGAAACTGTGCTGCAATCCCAAAGGCATGCAGTTCAAAAACACTAGCTGTTCCACAGGAGAAAGATGGGCAGCCTCCTCCCTGTGTGATTAAATTGCCTCTGAAAATATACTGGAAGGTCAGCTATGCGTTTGTTCCGACTCGATGGTACACGGCAATAACAGTGGGCATGTTGTTGGGAGGGGCTATTCCTTGGAAAGGGGCATCATGCTTAGGATGGTGGAGGGTCAGCAGAAGAGAGGAAGACCCTAAACCAGCGGCTGCAGTGATGGGCTCAAGTGTGTTAGAGATGTGAGGATGGCACAGGATGAGTCATACTGGACTCAGCGGCACTTAACAACAACAGTATTACAGAAGGGTTTGAAATGCTGTGAGAATGACCAGAGTGAGGCACAGAGACATGACATGAACTCGAGCTGTTGGGAAATGGTGCCCACAGACTTGCTCAGGGCAGAGTGGCCACAGACTTCCAATTTTTAAAATAAACTGTTTGCAGAACACAGAACGACCTTGTCAGGAAACATCTGCCTGTGTGACAGCTCCATGTAAAGTCCTGTCCTGAGCTTCTCTTACTGCATGGAGTGCAGCTCTATCAGGAAGCCACAGTTTGAGAGCTGGAATTTTTCTGGATTTTGTCAAATTGACTTTCACGAAGTTTATTCCAAATTACACTTTTTTCCAGTACAGTGTTTGAATGTTAATGTGATAGTACTAGGTTATAAGAGTCTGATTTTGCATAGATAATTGTAGATATGGAAATAAAATTCATACTAAAAACTTCTAATAGAGGAGTCATAGATGTGTAAAAATGTGGAGAAACTGGATTAAAAAGACTTTAAAGTTTCTTTTCTTGCACCTAGGTGAAATGACAATGGATGTTGTCTTGGCTCAGTTGAAACTCCTGAATCCAGATGACCTTCGAAAAGAAATTGTCAAAGCCGGATTGAAATGTGGACCTATTACATCAACCACAAGGTTCATTTTTGAAAAAAAATTGGCTCAGGCTTTGTTAGAACAAGGAAAATCCTTGATTTCCTCTCCTAACCAAGATGCAGCAGGCCTTGCACCTTTCAGCCAAGAAACACAAAGGATTTTAACATGTGCTGTGCAGAATGCAGCTAATAACCAGGCCACTTTTTCTGAAGACAAAGATTTTGGCTATAATATGGGCCTGAATCCGCCTCAGGAAGAGGCCATACTGCCCACGACCTGCTCGCCATCCTTCAGTGCCCCCGCAGAGGTGGACACCCCCAGAACTCCTGTGGCCACCACTAAAGAACCCCTCCTGTACTATGGGGTGTGCCCAGTGTATGATGACTTACCGGGGAAAACAGGTAACATGTACATGAATCTGTTGGAGCTTGTCTCTCCAGCCTCCTGTTCTGTCTTCTTGTTACACCTCCTGGTTTTCTTTCTTTACTTTTTGGTGGTTTGATTTTGTTTGCTTGGTTCTCTTTATTTTGACAATTTAGACATAGTACGTATTTCCTTTTTCTTCTCTGGATAGCCTTTAGCATCTTCCCTGACATTTGAGTTTGCTGATAAACCTAGTTGATAATACCCGTGTCCTTTTCAGAGTCCCTCAGTAGTGCACTCTCATGCACACATGGTGGAAGCACCTGGCTTACCTCCCCCTCCCAGGCCTGTAGTGGTTCGGTGCTAGAATTCTCACCTTCCTGGCCGGGCCCCTCCTGTGTAGCTGCCCCTCATCTGTCATTAGAGGCTCACATATTGTTCTGATGCTGAGTAGGTTCTAGCAGAGCTTCCAGAATAAGAGAGACTAGGAAGAAAGGCCTGGTGATCTGCTTGTAAAAATCTGTACATGAAAACCTGTGAATGTAGGGGATCACCAAGAATTAGAGGCTGACCCAGCAGTAGCTAATGGGTAACAGTGACGCTCTATTTGCCCTTTACGCTTTTTCACCCTCCCCACTCTTGCTTGTGATGATAAATTTCGGTCCTAAATGCAAGATGTCACCCCCCTTTTTTTTGCATATTGCTCTTGTTGTGACTTAGAGTTGTATTTTACCCTTTTGGAATGTTGAAAAGTAACACAGTTGAATAAAAAGTGTAAAATATGGGTGAACTATATGTCGTTATGAAGTAATACTCTTGTAATCATGACAGGAGATGTGAAAATAGCACACATTACCAAGCTCTAGTGTTTGGAGAAAATATCAACAAATAAAATGAGAAAGTAAGTTGAAGTGTTACATTCCATTTCACTGCTAAATACTTTAAAATATCTTTGATCTTAATTGTTGTCTCTGTGTCTTTTATATGTTTTGCCTATCATACTTGGCATATGTTGTGAAAATAGATTGTTACCGAAACACAGAACCTGCTCAAAGTCTTTGGACACAAACCTCTGGTTTCTTCATGCTCCTCGTACAAGGTTGAGGTCAGGGCCTGGGCCAGTGGGACCTTCACTGTCACCACTCCTTCCCTACCATGCTGGAGGCCTTTGTGTCATGGTACAAGAGGAGAAACAGAGTTTTGATCTATCTTCCTTTGTCCCCACAGAGAGGGTTCATGTTTATGAGGATAAAAAGGAAGCCTTGCAGGCTGTGAAGATGATCAAAGGATCTCGGTTTAAAGCTTTTCCAAGCAGAGAAGAGGCAGAGAGGTTTGCTAGAGGAAGTTGCGATTATTTCCCTTCTCCAAGCAAAGCCTGCTTGCCGCTGTCCCCTGTGAGAGCAGCCCCAGCCATCAGCAACGGTGGGCTCAAAGGTACAGTGCGCGCCATCCACATGATGGTGTCCCTCTGACCCAGGAATGTGCTTTGCCCTCTCCTGAGGTTTTGTGGCTTGTTTCCTCTCTCTGCACTGTGGTTCACCAAGAAGGGGAGACCAGCCCAGGGACCAGCCATGGAAAAAGGGATTCAGGCTGGTTGGGATTGGGAATGCTGTGAGGCGAGGGGAGGCGGGGGTGGTGGCGATGGGCACCCAGAGCTGCTGGGCGCTCTGAAGGCCTTGATGCCAAGGAGTCAGGACTTGTGCTTGACCAGGGGATGACCTGTGCCCCTTCTGTTGATTTTCACAATCCCTCAGCTCAGGACCCTTTGTTGATCTGAGACGAGTTCTCTTCCTGCCTGAGACTGTGTCCTCTGCCTGGATTCCCACACGCAGGGGACCTGTAAAGTCAGATTCTGGTGCAGGAGCCTTGCTGCTTGGATTTGACCACGCCCCGTCCCAAACGCAATTGCTAACTTTGCTCGTTCACCTCTGACCAAGGCCCTGGCTTTTTACTGTGCTTGGGCCTGGTTCTCTGCCTGATGTCTTAGCCTCCCCTAAACTGACTTGATCCCAAGGATGTGCACTCTGCTTTGGGTCACTCTCTTCCTCTGCTACCTGCCGCAGAGTTATGCAGTGCTTACTTAGGAACCAGTGGTTAAAACTCTTAGTCACAGATTTATCTCTTAACGGTTTGGTTTGTAGAATTCCCCTGAAGAAAATCCCTGGTGTCTCAGTGTTGTAATTAAACAGCAGAAATCACTTTGGAGTGTTCGCCCTCATGGGAATCCTCTTAACCCCGGAGGCTGCGTGCCTTTGCTGGAGATGTCCTCTGGCGAGGACTGTCCTTACCATATGCATCCCACCATAGAAACCCACTTAGTGCCCATGATCACCCATGGCACCACACTCACAGGGCCTCTGGCTGGACACCTGGTGGAGCCGGTGTGCTCTTGATGTGTCCATACCTCTCTGGCGGGCTTGTGTCACCTGCATTCAGGATTGGTCACTGTGCTCTGCTCTCAGCTAGTTGGAGTGCAGAGAAAGTGTGTGAAGTCCACCATTCTCACATCCTTTCTCTTAATGACAGATGATTTGTGCTTATCAGAGTCTGAAACTATCAACAAAGAACGTGCCAACAGTTACAAAAACCCTCGGACCCAGGACCTCACGGCCAAACTGCGGAAGGCTGTGGAAAAGGGAGAAGCAGACACCTTCTCTGACCTTGTCTGGAGTAACCCCCGTTACCTAATTGGTTCCGGGGACAATCCTACCATTGTCCAGGTAAGTCTGCTTTTAGCGCTGTGGTTTACGCTCCATGGTCATCATGATCTGCGTGCCCATAATAAAAGTAGAACTGAAGTTCAGAGCAGGATTTCCCTTCCAGGAAGGCTGTCGGTACAACGTCATGCACGTGGCGGCCAAGGAGAACCAGGCTTATCTCTGCCAGCTGACACTGGAGACGCTGGAGAACCCCGAGTTCATGCGGCTCATGTACCCCGATGACGACGAGAGCATGCTGCGCAAGCGCATCCGCTACATCGTGGACCTGTATCTGAACACGCCCGACAAGATGGTGAGTGGGCACCTCGTGCTCCGTCCAGCAGGAGCACCAATGTCCTAGGTGTGTGCTGAGTGCCTGTGCTGGGCGTCAGCGAGCAGGACAGGACTAAGACTCGCTGAGGAGGTGTGATCAGAACAAGAAGGCTGTATGCTCACTGAGGTGTCTGCACTGCAGGGCAGCATATCCTGGTTGGTCCAAACAGGACCTAGAAGCAGAGATCACACACACACACACACACACACACATCACACACACACACAGAGGACCTAGAAGCAGAGATCACACACACCCGTCCCTCTGGGAGACCCTACCTAGCTGTGTGCCTATTGGTTCTGTCTTTGGACCAGGGATCCCCCAGCCCTTCTGGGGGCTATTCTCTCCTGCTGCCTCTCTCATGTCATTGGCAGGGTGGTGATGCTGTGTGGTCATGTGGTGCCAGGAGTTATAGTCATTCCCTGTGTAGCGCGCTCGAGCCTGGTACTTCTCCCACAGATGGGTGGTGCTCATGCTGACCTGGGGTGGTCGTGAGGCCCTGCACATGCTATGTGCACCACCCTGATAATGATGCTGCACTTTAATTGGTAGATTTGTGGGAGCCTGGTGGGAGGTGGACTTGACCTTCAGGTGCACAAGTCATGTGTGAGAACACAGGTGTGTGGCTGCTGAGCACAGTGCCCAAGTCTTCATGCCCTTTGATCTGTCAGAGTCCCCTGGCAGCCCCAAGAGAAGGGCCCACACCAACTTTTGGTCACAGGAGACCTGTTCTAGTCACACCAGAACTGGGATCTCGCCTCCCTGGAGCCAGGGCCACTCACTGCACCCTTACATGAGCCCAGGAATCTGGAATCTGCTCTGCTTTCAGAGCAGTTGAGCTTTGTGTGTTCTTTGCCCTAAATGTCGCCTGCCTCCCCTTGTTTTGCTTCCTGAGCACTTGATGCTTTCTGAGTTACCTGACAGATGTTTAACTGGGCCTACATGTTAGTGTTGCTGCTGCCTGAGCTCCTGTGACCCAGCTCCTGAGAGGACTGTCCAGTGTGAGGACCCAATACTGAACATAACTACCGAGGCCCATAGAGAGTGTGCACCCTGATGGGTGGAGTGGGCAGTTTGGGATGTGAAGGGAGATGGTGATTTTTGTGGAACTTTTTTCTCTTTTTGTAAGGCAATACGTATTTTCATTGTGCAGCAAGCAGCCTCCTGAACTGAGAAACATGAATTATCTCTCTTCTTTTCTAGGGCTATGATACACCCCTGCATTTTGCATGCAAGTTTGGGAATGCAGAGGTGGTCAGAATCCTTACTTCCCACCCTTTGATTGTAAAAAATCCCAAGAATAAATATGAGAAGACACCTGAAGATGTAAGTACCCACTGAAACACTGTGGTCCTGAGGCTCAGGGCTCACAGCCATTCAGTGCTGGGGCACAAGGACCCACAGCCGTGTGGTCCTGGGGCACAGAGGTCACAGCTGTGTAGTCCTGGGGCACAGTGATTACAGCTGTGTGGTCATAAGGCTCCATGGCCACAGGGTATTGGAATGCAGTGGTCATTCAATACTAGAACAAATGGATATGGGGTGTTAGAATGTGGGTAGGATGCTGCAATTTGGTCATACTGTGTTGGACGTGCATGCACGGAAAGGAGGCGTCTGTGGGCAGTCAGTGTAGCCCTCGTTAGCCCTCACTCAGCTTGTTCCCATTAAGCAGAGCAGCCTGAGTGGTGAGAGAGTTGTGGAGGTGTTCTGTGCCTGTGGTGTGGAGAACAGGGAGCCGGGGACCACGCCAGAGCTTGGCCTGGTGTGCTCCAGGTGCCGGTGGGTGCTGCTCTCAGGCCTGGGAGCATTCTGCTTTGTTGCTCCTGCCCTTCCCCTTTTATAACATAAAAGTAATACCTATTTTATATGCAATGTTCAGTATTTCCAGAATAAAGGTAAAATAAAATTGATCAGAAAATTTTACAACTCAGATTATCATTATTTTATATACATCTAGCCCAGTTTTTGGGTATTTGTAGGAGTGGTTTTTACAGCACAGGAGAGAAAGACCCCAGACAAGATGGATTGACACAGTAACTGGGGTAATGGGGGTCAGTGTGTCAGAGTCAGTGAGACTGGCTCAGGATAGGGAAGGCTTCAGAGCTCTTGTACATAGGATCCCATACATAGAGTACAAGTTGCAGGTGACTCCACTGGCACCACCACCAACTTTAACACTTATTTTTTTCCCTTCACATATTTTATTTCAGTTAACAGTTATCCATTTAAAATTCATTTGTTGCAAAATAAAAAATTAGTTGCACTCACTGGATACAACTGTGAAACTTTGGTTTCACCCATTGGCCATAACAGAGATGGTTACTTTGCTGAGACAGTGTTACTTTGTGGTTTGAAGGTTCCCAGTAGTTCACAGGTTTGGTTTTTTTTTTAGTTCACAGTTTTGAGCACAGTGTGTTCTTGAGGCACGATTGCCTCAGGCCTGGGAAAGGCGCTTCCTGTGGATTTGTTTTCTCCCCTGGGCAGTGCCCTTCCTACAGGGCAGGTGTCTGAACTGATGACAGTGTACTTATTCTCCTTCTGTGCACCATGAGGAAAGAAGGTAGAGCTCACTTCATCTCCCGGTGCTCCCCACCGTTCCCCTGGGGTACGCACCCTTGGGCTGTGAGCTAACATCTCAGGAAATGCTGGCTTTTGACTTGCTGAGCTCAGGAGGTTTTGCCATCTTTTAGAGATGTCCTCACTACGCTGAGTTGAAAACTTGTTCTTGTAATATAACTTAAGTGATAAGAAAATGGGATGAATTGTTAAAAGATTTAGCGTGTTTATTTACTTCATAGGTAATTTGTGAAAGAAGTAAAAGTAAATCTCTGGAATTGAAGGAGCAAATCAGAGAATATTTACAGGGTAAGTGATAGGCATCACGGTGAGGGTGGGTGTCACGGTGGGAGTGGGTGATCAGAGTCGGGGGTAAGTGATCACGGTGGGGGTGGGTGATCACAGTGAGGGCGTGGCATGGTATGGGGATAAGGGGTCAGGAGAAATGGAAGGAGGTCCCACCGTCTTGCTGGGCTTCCCCCCCCTCCCCCCCGTTCTAGTGGTCAACGCTGTCCTGATTCTGGAGAAGCCCACAGTGTGCATCAGTGATGTATTGTTGTGTTGTGCAGAAGGCCTCCGAGTGCTGACCTGTCTCAGAAGTCCAGCCTCCTGGGGTGGGTGGTGATCTTGTGAAGGAGCGTGGTGGGCTCTGTCCTCACCTGACGCAGGAACCACGTGCTCGCTTGTCCTCAGTCAGAAGCAGAGCCCCAGAGAGTGGAGCCATGTGGTTTCTTTGCTGCTCATCAGATACCTGCCAGGTACATTAGGCCACAGGGGCCAGGATGCTCAGCCACACTTGTCCCTTCTGCAGGTCACTACTATGTGCCGCTCCTGAGAGCAGAGGACACATCCTCGCCAGTGATTGGGGAGCTGTGGTCATCCGACCAGACGGCTGATGCACTGCCCACCTCTCGCTTTGGGGGAAGCCCCCGAGACCCCATTCTGACTCTGAGAGCCTTTGCAGGGCCCCTGAGCCCATCCAAGGTGAGCTGCTGTGGAAACTGTTGGAACCTCCCCAGGGTATCTGTAACTTGGTGTGGGGTTTGTGCTCGGTCGTGGGGACTGGCCCATGGTCCCCAGAGCTCTCAGAAGAGGACCGTCTCAGGAGAGGGCTTGCTCTGTTTGCTGGAGTTTCAGGTGTCCTGACTGCCCACTTGTGGCAGGAGGCACCAGGCCAGCCCCGCCCCGCCTATACTGCATCATCTGTCTGCCCTTTTCAGCCCAGCCAGGCTCCCTATCCAGCACCTTCACCAAGAGGTGCCCACCTCTGACTCTGAAGTTCTCCTTCTAGGCCTGCTTCCTGTAACATGCTTTGAGCCACTGGAATAGCTCTCCTCTGAGCCTAACCACTGCATCCTCACCTCGACCCTTTAGGGTGTTCAGACAAACCCTGACAGCGTCTGTGGGCTTTCCACCCAAATGAAAATGGAGGGCCACCCTTCTGGCTGCATGCTGCCTGCATGGAACCCTGTAACTAATCACGACCTGCAGTACAGCTCAGAAACACAGCTGTTGGAACTGCCTCATAACTGACCCTCCAGCAGATTTTCAAAGGCTGAAAGTCACAAAGAAGAAGATTGCTCGTCTTCTTCTGGTGGATTTGAACTGCCAGAGAGATGCCATCTTTGGGTCAGCAGCACAACTCTGTACCCACTACGGCTCCAAAAATGGGTAACTAGTTGCAGTTAAGTAAGGATTAGTCACATACAGCATGAGACTAGTAAGTTTCTTTTTACAGCATATCAAGGGAAGAATGGACAGGGCAGCCCTGTGGGGAAAGAATGGATACTGGAGACACAGGGTCACTCCGCCAAGTGTGGGGTGTTTGCACAGTGCAGGCAGGATGCCATATTGCTTGTTTTCTTCACAGGCTGAAGAATTCCGCAAACTCTGGAAAACTCCACCTCGAGGGAAGGCAGGTTTCTTCCATAATGTCAGGAAGTCGGATCCAGAAAGAGGCGTTGAAAGAGTGGGAAGGTACTTTGAGGACTGTGTGTTGCTATTAAAGTGAGAAGCCTGGATACTTGGCCCAGGCGTGAAGGGACAGCCCAAGATGCAGAACTCCTCAGCAGGGTGGCCGGACCCGCTCTCGGGCGTAGAGCGTCTTTATCTCAGGGTTACTCTGTGCGCACTGCACACACACCGCAGCCTATAGTGGTGCCATCCTTCCTGGATCAGGGGTTCTCCACATCCTCAAGATACTTGGGCTTGTTTTTTGGTGTTTTTTTTTTTCTGGAAAGGAGGCAGATAACATTACCTTTCTAAATTAGTGGTGTAAGAGGTGGTGGGTTTAGAAGCTACCAATAGGATAAAAATCCCAGAGGGTGATTTGCCCATAATCAAAAAGCTGAATGAGAGTGTAAATGAATGAAGCTTCATTGAGTGCTGTAGATCTTGTTCTCAAAACATGGCTTGGATTCAGGTGTAAACTCAGAAAGGACCGTTGACTTTTTAGGAGCCTACACAGATTGGCGTTGGCTGTGTGCAAGCAAGTCCATCTGTGGGGTTTGTCGTGGGACTTGAGGTCCCTCTTGTCTGGCTCTTGAGGACCCTGTTCTAGGTTCCAAAGCAGCAGGAGCGGAGGAACGGCTGGGCTGGGTGCAGCGAGGGTGCAGTAGATGCATCCCTGTTGAATCCTGAGGGCTGCACTCCGTTCTGGCATAAAGTTGCTGCTTTGTTTGTCATTTCTGTGCTGTGTCTTGTCTGCTTTCACTACTGATGATGGCTTTTGTTTCATTTGTTACAGGGAGTTAGCACATGACCTGGGGTACCCCTGGGGTGAATACTGGGAATTCCTGGGCTGTTTTGTCGATCTGTCTTCCCAGGAGGGCCTGCAGAAACTAGAAGAGTATCTCACTCAGCAAGAAATGGGCCGAAAGACCCACCTAGAACCAGGAGCAAATGAAGCTCATCTCCAAGACCAAGGTGAGGGCGAGTGTGAGAGCTATACCTTGGCAGATGAGGAGGTCTGTGTGGGAGGGACAGCATTGCCAGGTGCACTGACCTGTTCAGGTTGAGGTTCACCCGCAATTAAAACTAATCTCTGAAGGGAACTCTGGTGGCCTAGTGGCAAGAAGCTGCACTGCAATTCTGAAGGTAGGCAGTTCGAATCCACCAGATGCTCCACTGGAGAAGGAGGGACAAGCTCCTCCTGTGTCAGTCGGATCCGATTCCAATCCAACAGTACACAACAAGTAGAAAAAATTTTTTTAAAAACCCCAGAAAACAAAACCAACTCTCTGTTACATCAAAATTGATAATAGCTGAATCCCGCTGGCTGAGAACCTGTAAAACTCTTGTTGCCACAGAATGGGAGCTGACCCTCAGCGGGGTTTCAGAGGCTATGAATCTCATGGGAGGTGATTGCTCTTCTTTCTCCATGAAGCGGCTGGCTTTAGGTTGACAGCGCAGCTCCTTAGCACTCGGGGGGCCACCGGAGCTCCCCAGAACCTGTAGTGGTTGGATCTTCTGATATCCTGTCTTTTCCCACTGGAACATTTCCCATGTTTCCAGGAGTACACGCCCCAGAATACTGGGTGTCCTTAGTGGAGTCAGGATGCAAAGAGTTTTTACAGCATAAAATAGCAAATGGAAAAATCACAACAATGGAGTTTAATTAAATTGTGGCAAACTTAAAAGTAACAGTAACCACATTTTAAAAGGGAAAACCACAAACTGCCCCTCTGTATTGTTGAGTTTGTTCACCTCTCACTGAAAGGGAACAGCACGCCATCCTCAGAACCATTGCTGCCACTGAGCCCTTTGCTGCACTCACATAAACATCAGTTACAAAGAATGACAGTGATGTCACAGTCACAGAGGCAATGCGGGCACAGAACCACAAATTCTGCAAGGAACCGAGAGCTTGGCTAGTGCTCTTACTGACAGTGGCAGTCAACTCTGTAAGGGGCTGTTTTCAAAGCTTCAGTGGGGTTTTCCAAACTCCCCAGGCAGTTGAGGTGAGTTCCTGGAGGCGCCAGGCCCTGGTGCACTGCAGGGCCTAGTGCCTGAACTCCGTCGAGGGGCCAAGGAGGGGACAGAAACTGTGCTGACTTGTTGTTTATCTAGACAGTTCCCTTCAACCAGGTTTTGTAAATGCCAGAAAACTCCACACGTAAAACCCCTTAGCATCATGTTTAAGGTCATGAGGATAATGAAAAACAAGGCCAACCAGCTAACAAAATCTTGCTAGTACCAAGGGTTTTTTAATCTGCCAAAGTAGAAATGTGTACACCTACCAGATTAAAAATCTGTGGTTTCTAAAGACTGAGATGGGGGATGGGGCCCACTACCCCAGAAGGCATTTATTTTACCAAATAGACCCCTTAAAGTGAAGGAAAGAAGCTGAAGATAGTTTGAACGCATGTGAGTGAGAACCGTCCCAGGATAAGCTGGAGCTTATCCAGCATCCAGCACAGGCGGAGCCAGAGCTCTGAGCGTCAGGTTCTCCTGACATCGGTGTGTGCTTTTGGGCTTCATGATAAAAGTACACTTAGTCACCTGTAGTGAAGCGTACCCTCCCTCAGCAAGATTGGTGGCTGAACAGACAGGCATGCAGGTGCAGAAGCTGGGCCAGAAGTGAGAGAAACTTCTCTCAGAAACAACTTTGTTTTGCCTCTGAAGGCTTTGTCCCAAACCAGGCTCCGTATTTGATTTATATTTGATTCAAATTGTCCCACTGCAGATGAGTCGATTTCAACTCCTGTCAACCCTCCATCCAGTTTCTGAGACAATAAAATAGCTTCATCTTTCTCCTGTCGAGCAGCTTAAGGATACAAACCAACCCCCGCCCACTGTCATTGGTCCCACCTCATGGACACAAACTCCCTTCCCATCTGTGTCCTTCCACCTGTTTTCTACTGTCCTGTCAGGACAGATGGGGAGTCTACCCTGGAAACCACAGTTGTGTATGAAGCCCACAGTACCCGGAGGAAGGAGCCCTCAGGCCCGTGGCCCCACTAGCCACCTTCTAATTAGCAGCCCAACACTAATGTACTGCGCCCCCAAGGCCTTTAATTTAGTCACTTGGTCTCACCAGCCAGACCTCAGGGGTTCAGTGTCCCACTTCCACAGCATAGTCCACAGTTGTCCTCTGTCTCACTCTCAGGCCACCTTGGGCCTTGTTCTCTAGGTATCAGGACCCTGTGGGGAAATCCTCAAATCCCCTCTGGTCACTCCACACTGGGGCGCAGCCTGGCCTGGATGTCCCTTTCTGGGCCAGCAGGGAGGACTTGATCCCAGAAGGCCTGCAGCTGTGTCTGTCTTGGCATCTTTTGCAGTCTGTGCTGGGACAACCTGTGGGGCCCGATGTTCTGACTTTTGTGTTGTGTTGCTCACAGGCTGTGGCAAAAAGTGCAGCAACTCCATTTCCGTGAGGGCGTTTCTCGATGAAGATGAGGACATTAGCTTGGAGGAGTTTAAGAATCGGCAGAACACAGCTCGCAGTGCATACCAGCCCCTGGCTGGAGCCTCTGGAGACCCGGGGCAGGACATTCTCTCTGCGGAACAAGATGCACACTACGCAGACAGCCCGGATGCCAGAGACACCCAGGAGCGTGACAGCAAGAACGGGGTCTGCAGTCCGGATCCGATCAAGCTCTGGAGGCGGAAGAGGCCCATGGGCTGCGCTGGGGAGGAAGAAGGCCTTTTCTCTCCCGTCTCCAGCTTAACTGTTGAGTTTGACAAACTGCATCTGCAAACGCCAGGGAGCAGCTCTTGTCAGACACCAAGTAACAGAGACACGAAGGTCCCGACACCGAGAAGGGCCTCGGCAGGAGGTGAATTAGAACCAGCACCTGCTCTGGAAAAGTGTGGGAATGACCCAGTACGGACAGAGAAGGAGATGTCAGATGAGATTGCAAGGATGTCGCTGGATGCCAGCAGCCGTGGATGTGCGGGCCTGCGAGGCTGCAGCCCCACACTCCAGCCCCTGTCCTTGGAGCCAGCCCCTAGGCTCTTCCTGCTCGGGTAGGAGGACTGCACTTGGGATTCCCGGGGTGTTTTGTAATTTCTTTTCTCTGAGGGCCCCTTGATAGGCCGTGGCAGCTTTCCACCTGCATCCTTTAGGGCAGCAAGTGCCACAGTGACTGAATCTTTCCAGAGGATTTAACTGTCAGGACAGAGCCAGGGCCCCTCCTTGCACCACTAATGCGCTAGCTTTCCTCAGTCCCATGAACCTTGCTGAGGGATGCACAGTGTCCCCACCTCTGTTGCCCCAGGTCCCGGTCCAGCACCATGGCCACTGGCTCTTCCTTCCCTAGACTTGCTGGCATTCTTCTGACAACCGCCAGGGTACAGTGACTGGGGGGGAAACACATGGACCCTCAACACACTGATCCTGTGTCACACATGAGGGGGGTGTCTGTGTCCTCAGGTCTTTGTTTTATAATCAGATTCCCACCCACCCCCTTTCTTGTTCTTTACATGATCTCTAGAGAAGAGCCTTCAAAGCTGGACCGGGATGTGCTCGCTGCCCTGGAGTGTGCGGACGTCGACCCTTGTCAGTACCCGGCTGTCCTAAGGTGGAAGCGCACTGTGCTGGCCTACTCACCCTTGGACAGACAGAGGTAGGCGGCCACTGCCCACACTGCCATACGCTTTGCCAGCTGCTCAGCCCCACACAGGCAGCCCCATGGCCCAGCTCATAGAGCCCTCAGCCAGGTGGTCCTTGTCGACTGCTCCTAGAGGGAGGTTTACATGCCTCCGTGCACGTTACCACCACAGGGCCCCTTGGCATCCTCCCCCTGCCCTCCAGCCCCGTCTCCCATCCCTCCCCACCATCCACCTCACCCATCTACCCACTCCTCACCTCCTCATCCTCTAGCCCTCACATCTCCTTAGCACCTTCTTGTACCTCCCCACCCTCCCCTTTACCTCCTCACTCACTTCTTCACCCTCCTGTCCCCTCACCTCCTTGGTGCCCTCTCCCTCAGCCTCCCATCGCCTCCTCACCCTGTCCGCCTCCCCACTTCCCCTTCCTGCTCCCTCCCCCCTTTAGTACTCTGTCCCTCACCTCCTCCCTTTCCTCCTCTCCGCACTGCCTGGCCCTGTGTGGTCTGCTCTGACTTGCTTGTCTGTGGTAAATCCCCTCTCTTGGTTTCCCTAGTTGGCCAAGCCCTGCAGTGAAAGGGAAGTTCAAGCTTCAGCGGCCGGATCTTGGCTCTCCCTACAGCTGCAGCCCGGGAAGATGTGGACCAGCTGCCGGCAGTCCTGGGAAGGCCAGCGTCTCCCCATACTCGCCGGGTGTGGGTAGTCCTGGGCGGTATAGCCCCGTGCACGGCGGCCCCTTCCGCAGGATGGCATGCCGGGCTGAGCTGGCAGCGCTGTGAGGTTGGGAGCTCTACGTGCCAGGGCTTGAAGGGTGGTTGAGTATCGTTAAGTCACTTACACAAATGTGCTGATTAATTTATTGACCCTTTTCTTGAGGGTGAAAAAAATTTAGAAAATAAAATGTTACTCTGTATTCAGTTAAGAGTTTGACATTTGGGAGAAGCTGAAGGTGACTGCAACAGAAATGCCCCTGAGGTAGTGGCAGATAGCACTTTGTGTAGCAGAGGCTCTGGGCTGTTGGCACTATAGGAAAATCCCCTTTTGTTTTGCTGGCGGACTCCAGCTTGTTAGGTGAACTGAGGTGATGGCAGGAAGGAGTACATGGGAGCTTAAATGTGTCTTGACTGGCATGACCTTCATAGTGTCATGATGCAAGACGTGGAAGTCAGGGTTGGCATAAACGCTTGGTTTTTCTGCTGAAGAAATTTTCCAGCCATTGGCAGACTACCCAGCCAGAGTCTGCTGCCCTGTAGGAGGTGGCCTGCCCACAGCTGAACCCCAACTCTGCTTCAGATGCCCATGTGCTGATAGGCACCTGCAGTTAACTGTTCCCTGGCTTTAAGCTGCATCAGAGGATCCACTAAGGAGAAAAGCAGAGTTAGTTTATCAGAATAGGTTCCGTTTCTGTTCTTTTCCTTGGTCATCTGCAAGCCTGACCTCATGGTGTGGAGACAGGAGACAACCCAGAGTACTCTGCAGTGTGTGAGGCCCACTAACCCCCTACTGTCATAGAGCCAGCACCCCAAGGCCCAGTGTCAGCCGTCATCGTGAGGGCTGAGCCACTTCCCAGATATCACTGTCAGCACTTCGAGGCTTAATGTCTTGCGCTTGGTGTCACATGTGGCACCCATAGGTGACTTCTGCAGTTGCTCTTAAGAGTCTGCTCCTGTGGACATTTTCAGTGTTTGGTTCACAATTATAAACAGAATCAGTGCTTTTGATAACTTCAGTGCCTTTTGTAAATAATTTTTAATTTTTTTGTACTTTTTGGGAATATAGTCATACTGTGTAGGCTTAAGTAAAATTTTCTTTTGTATAAATTCTTAATTGAAATGTATGTCAGAAAGCCTCTTTGTGTCTCACATGATGCCAGGGGACAGGTGGTAAGCAAGTACTAGAAACATGATTTAAAGATTCAAAAGGTTTTTGAAAAAGGATTTAAGGATTTTACATTTATTGTTTAACAACCCAACATGTAAAACTGAAATATGTTCGTGACCCTACAATCTGTTATTTTAAAAAGTCATCTTTGTTTTCAGAAGAAACCAAAATGCAAATATTCTGTGCAGAGATGATCTGTTTTCTCTCAAAGCTGACCACGCTTATGTAGTAAATAAGATGGGGATTAAAATACTCAGCCTTCCACAGGCTCTATATCTTCAGATTCAACTGAGGACTGAAAAATATTCAAGGGGAGAGATGAATCCTGAAAACGCAATTAAGTGGTCAGAGCTAAAAGTGCTAGTGGTGTCATCATTTCCATTTTAGAGACGTGCATTACACGTCACTGAGACCACAGGGTACAGGGTAGGCAGGTGTGCCTGGGTCGTCTGCAAACACCATCTTACATAAGGGGCTTGAGCCTACCTGAGGGTCCCAGTACCCATTCCCCAGGATACCTGGGGACCACTGTGGTATTTCTGCCTTAATTCCTCAGACTGCTGATCCTGTTTTCAGTGCTTCAGGCTACCTTGCGTTAGTCATTTGTACAAGGAGTGTACAAACATGGGATAACCAAGGAGATGCCAGTATGAGGGCTGTTTTTGTTCTCAAGAACTGATTGGCCTAACACTTGAAGATTCATGGTACTCATTTGGATTTGCTATTTACTTTTCCTAACATAGACGTGGGAAAGCTGCTTTGTGAAATTAAGAATTTGTCTTCATTTCTTCCATTTACAAGAAGTAATTTAAGGAGCACAGGCCTCCCGAGTGATGGAGCAGCTGTTGTGTTAATGTCACTCATCTTCACTCAGTTGTGGAATCATGCCACCTCTGTAACCCTGTCGGTGTCCAAGGCTGACTGGTGGGACCCACCACCAAGAAGGCCTGGAGGTTAGCAGCACAACTTCCTCAGGACGACCACCCCGGGATCAGGAGACTAAAGCTCACCCTCCTCCTTAGCACCTGTCAGCTACACCGTGCAAGGTGGGACCTTGAACAAATCCTCTGCAGTCATCTTTGGCCATTCTTGATTTCCAGAGATGAGTGCTGAGTGTGAACGAACCAGAGGCCTCACTTGACAATACTGTGGCTTGTCCCTGGTCTTCTTCCTCACACCGAGAGCCCTCATGGCAAGGCTGTTGGGACAGGGGACGCTGGGAACGGCTTCCAACTAGAACTCCGTGAAAGCTCCAGGGCTCCCCTGGTCATGCACTACAGGTTTTCTTCAAAGTACACACAAATGTTATTTATGCCAATAAAAAGAAAAAGTAAAATAAAGTTTTATTATGTAATTCATTCCAAAGTTGACAGAGAAAATGGATCAGATATTCAGTCAGGTTACATGATTCCAGAAAATGTTTTCAAACACTTCACAGAAATTGTATTTCCCTAAATGAACAGAGCATTTGGGATAGACTTTTCTCAGTACCTTAAATACATTAATTCATAAGCATAAAAGAGTAGCGATAAAAAGAGACAAAGTGGCCACACTTAGCTTACAGTCTAGGACATCAGAATGTCATTTATTACATATGATTTTCCCATCACTTAACCATATTAAAACACTAGGAGATGGGGGGCAGGAGAGGCCCTGAGTGGTCAGCACACCTCCACCCCAGTCCTGGTCAGAGCAGGGTCTCCTGGTCACAGGGTCTTCACTCCCACTTAACGGATCTGTGACACAGTGACAAATGGGTTTTCAAAGCAAGAACCCAGGAGGCAAATGTCTTTACAATGAAGATGGCGTGAGATAAGCCAGGAATGGGAAGCCAGGTGGCGCTGCTGAGTGGTAGTCCCCTTGTGCCTCTCAGTGGGTGGGCCTTGGCCGTTGTCACAGGAAAGGTGCCAGGGAACACCTGTAACCCAGGTATCTTTCAGATCCTAGGATGGAAAGCCCTGTGCAGCCTGGGCCCCAGAGGTCTTTGCCATGCTTGTCTCAGGCCAGGAGCCAGTTGTTCTCTTCTCTGGCCACCTTTGAAGAAAAGAACTGACGCACAGCCTGTCGGGTGGATGTGGACGGAGGGAGTCTAGGAGGTGAGCAGAGTGGCCTCAGGACCGGGTGATCTTGTCCGGAGGCATGAACCCCGTGTCCCCAAGGGTCCTCAGTGCAACCCTGCCATTGGGTCGGATCACCAGGTGGGTGATGCTGCCGTTATTGAGGGAGAGACGGAGCCAGCCTTCAGGGGGAAACTGCAACGCCCTGGAGAAGAGAAAGCTTGTGACAGCTGGCAGCCACCAGAGCAGCCCCAGCTCTGTGGGGTGGCCTGGGCCAGAGACAAGCTGCCCGGGGCAGTGTAAGCTCCAGACCTAAGGAACAGTACCAGCTGTGGACCCCAGAAGATGAAGAATTGTTCCTAGTCACAGTCCATTAACAGACAGGCCAGGACACCACAAGCCAGCCCGGGACCCACACTATAGGGGGACCTGCTGAAGGACTTCAGCCCAGACGGAGGGACCTCCCTCCGATGCTGAGGACACCAACAGCAGCTCAGGATATGCACCAGGCTAGACTTGCAGAGTCATCGGGGCAAAGGAGTGGGAATGCCAACTCTACGCCTTCTGTTATCCGAAAGCCTCAGAGTAGATCAAATGAGAAAGTCAAAGACAGAGCAAAGGGGGCAGCACCACAGAGCACAGGAACCAGCACCCTCACCTGCACACAATGTAGCGGATGACATTGGCATGACAGATGAAGATCTCGTAACTATCCTCCTCCTGCCTGACATCTGCACGGTGGATATAGTTCCGGAATGCAGCCTCAATCCGGGCTCCGTCCTCGTAATACTGCTGGGGGCAGAGCGGAATCTTACGTGTCAGAAACAAAGGAATGCGCCAGGAGGCAAAACCAACCTGCCATCATCCAGTAAGTCAAAAGGTGCTGCACTCTGGTGGTGGAGAGCACAGAGACAGGGCACGGAAGCACTGCAGAGCCCAGAGGGGAGGAGACAGGCACCCCAGGACCCAAGATGGGGCAGACGGGGAGATGGAGGTGCCAGAGATGGGGAGAAGAGGCGGAGGGGACCTGGCCTCAGAGCTGGGACACTGCACATTGGGGTGGGCTTTTACCACAGCTTCTGGCTTCCAGTGGGACACAGGCGGGTCAGGCTCGATGGGGGCACCTTCCCTGAGCAGGTCGGTGCTGACTCTGCACACCCCTAGAGAGAAAGTAGCACAGAGAGGCTGCAGCATCCCATTGCCCGTAGCACAGAGAGGCTGCAGCATCCCATTGCCTGACCACAGCTTGATCATAACCCGCACCCGAGCTGAGGCTGCACCTGCCTGCCTTGCTCAGGGGCAGCCGAATGACTCACCTGGCAGGTGCTTGCAGATGATGTCTGTTGTCTCTATGGCTCGAGTCATGGACGAGTGCACGATCCTGTCAAACTTCAGCCCCAGGCTCGCCAGTCGGACTCCAGTCAGTTCAGCCTGCTCACGACCTGGGGATGGGGACGCATTTGAGGCTGACTCGAGTGGGGACACCCTCCCATGGTGGCTTCCCACCCATTTAAGCCCATGCAGAGCACCAATCACGGGCTGGGCAGGGGACAAAAGAGGTGAGTGTTAACCGTGTGAAGCCTGGCCTTGCGGGGAGGAGACACCAGATAAATCAATATGATCACCTAGGGAAAAGCGTGTGACCCCCACCCAGAGCACTGACCAGATGATAACCGCTTAAAGGTAGGCACGTTCTGTTTACACTCAAATAATTCTTAACTATGTCCAGAAATGAAGTCTAAACATTGCCCATATTCCAACAACCAGACAGGTAAAGATTTTAATACATAAAATCCTTAAGATCTCAGTTACCAAGGAGAGAGTAAATGTAAATACAAATGCTACTCCAGCCCCACTGGGCATTGTTCCCAAGGATGTTTCCTGCAGATATGCTTCAGGTGAACAGAGAAAGGGGCAAAAAGCTTGGGCAGCAAGATATGGTGGGCACCCAGCACGCCTCCCCACGGGGTCCATCCAGTTCTCCACAGACCGGTCTCACTGAGTAGACCAGGGTGGACACCAAACAGGCAGGATGTGAGTGCCTAACAGAAGGCTCTCCAGAATATTACATGAAAAGCAGACTTCAGCAAGCACCCGCATGCTGCCTTCCAAAAGCACAGGACACACCTGCCATCTGTGCAAAGAACCCCATCACATTTGAACATTTTATTCACGGTTTGATTTTTTTTAAAGTGAAGAGAATTTAAAAGCCGGACTCAAGCCAGTTAAGCTGTACTGATAATCACAATGTTTGGGTTTAGGACCATGAGGCCATTGAGCAGCTCTAAGAGACAAGAGCAGAGCGGTTAGGCCAGCGCATCCAAGCATCTCACCCAGTGGCGTGAGAGTCCGGTCCTTCTCTAGGGAGCCATCCACGTGGTACTGGGAGTGTCTGATGAGGAAGATGTGTCGTGTGGCCTTGGCTTTGTAGTGGTCCAGCCTGGATGCCAACTCCTCTTCTCCAGATTCCAAGTTCCTTTTCCTCAGGTTGACGAGAGATGGTGGTTCTCTCCTAGTTGGAATTTAAGATGAAGATGGCCTGTGACATCTGTTCCTAAGTCACCTCTGAGTATTCTGACAAGACGGTATTTGTAAACGAGGAAGAGCAACCTTTTAGATCTTTTATTTAATAAGAGATCCCAGGAAAATTCTGTTCTCAAGCACCACGTACTTCCCTACTTTCTGGCCAGGCCATCTCCACCCAACCATCCCACAGTCAGTCACCTGCCAGACCTGTTCTAGATGGTGCAAGTGAAAAGAAAACAAAAATAGGCAAACTAAACCTTTCTGCTCTTTGTGTTCTAGTAAAGAAAGGCGAATAACAAACAGCAAAAGAAGAGTAAACGACACAAGGGAAATTAAATGAGATGCTGGCAAAGCTTCGCCTTTCATATTTTGGACCTAGGTAAGGCTGTTCCTTGGAAAGGGACTGCGTGCCTGGAAAGATGGGTAGCGAAGGAGAAGATGCACTGACATGATGCTTTCAGCAATGGGCTCTAGTGTGTCAGCTGGTAAGGCTAGAGCACAGGATAGGGCAGGGTTCAGGTTGACTGTTCATAGGGTTGTTATGAGTTGTACCCTACTTGATGGCACCTAACAGTGTGGCGCGTGCTGGCTCAATCCTGTTTACAGAGGAGTGTGATGTGGGTCTTCGAAAAAGGTCCACAATGTCTTCTGTAAGTCCAAAGTTTGGGTAGAATTTTTTTTTAAGTACCTCTGAAGTTCCTGATATGACAGCACATAACAGCAACAATAAATATTAGTTCTGCGCCCACAATGGGAAGTGCAGTGTCATATGGAAGGGAGGTCAGGATTGGGTGAACACACACCAAACTACTTCCTGTCTATGAAACAGAAATGTAGTCCAAGCAATGTATCCAATTTAAAACCACCCTTGGGGAGGAAGGGTGGGCAGGGAGAAAAGTGCAACAATGAATGCTGGGGTATCCTAAATCTCTGTAAAATTTCATTAAAATAATAATAATAAAAAACCCACCTACCTCTTAGCCACATTTAAAAGTTAAAAAAAAAAAGGTAGGTAAAATTTCAGTAATACTGTTTTATGCAATGTATCAAAATTACTATTGTGACACAGGATGTTAGAAATTGACAGTAATTTTGTTTTTAAAGGAAATTTTAAATTCTGTTTCTTAACCATACAGGCCACGTTTCAAGTGCTGAATGACAACCAACACTTTTGTCCTTACACTCACATTGGTTTGTCCTGAAAGTTCTTTTCAAGGACACTGGTGGTTTAAGGGCAGATCTCTCCCCTTCTACATGGGAGACCTAAGTTCGACTCCTGGGCAACATACTTCACAGTCAGCCACTACCATCACCGAAGGCTTGCATGTTGCTCTGAAGCTCAACAAGTATCAACAGAGCTTCCAGGTTAAGATAAAACAGGAAGAAAGGCCTGGCAATCTACCTCTGAAAACTCTGGATTACAAGAGTCCTATCTTGACTCTGGAGCGGCTTGGCCCGGATCATCAAAACAGCATGTGGCATGCCCTGGGCACAGACACCCAACTCTTGGCTTTGGGACAAATTCACGGATGGGAACAAGGATGCGAGCCTAACAGAGCCCTAGTCTTCAAATCAGGACTAAAATGTCATTTTACAGGTTCCTCAACACAACAAGGTAAGACAGGTGTCCGTCTCTTCCATACATGGGAAAGCGTGGGCTCGGGGTTTCGTGGCCGGTGCACAAGATCAAGGCGGCCTGTGGACCACAAGGGGCACTCGGCACTGAAAATACCTGCGAAGGCCCTGGGGGTCTGAGCCCCGGGCTCCAAGACCCGCGGCCAGCCCTGATCTCAGCCCCCACTGACTCCCGCCTCTCAACCTCCCGACTCCGAGTCCCCCGGCCGATCATAACCCCAGCCCCAAGCCCCCCCCTCGGCTAGCCTTGATCCTGCCCCCCATCCTCCTGGACCCCGCTCCGCGCGTACCTGTCCCAGTTGGGGTCCCAGACGCCGGGCGAGGATCGTGCACCCACCGCCCACCCCGGCGGCTCGGACACCCGCGGCTCCGCGGCTCCTCCCGTTCGCGGCTTCCCGATGGCCACAGCAGAAAAGAGCACGGCAGCCGAGCCTCCGGCCAACCCGCAGGCCGCCAGCTGCAGCGCCCGCCGGAACGCCATGCCGGCTAGCTCCCGCGCACGGAAATGGGCAGGCACTAACGGACGCGTACGGCGCGCCGCCGGGGACACGCTTCCTGGAGGCCTTCGCTTCCGGCGCGCACGCGGAAGTCCCGCCTCCCGCGGTTTCTCAAACCGGCAGAGCTGTCGGGGTCCCGGGCGCAGTGAGACCTTCCCCGGGGAGTTCCCGCACCCCGCCGCCTTCGCTTAAAGACCAGCGGGGTCGCTGCTGCTCTGGGTGCCGGGCGCTGCAGTAGGTTGGAGCCACAGTGGACGGTGAGCCATGAGGACGTCGGTAATCGATGTCGTACAGCTCCCTCTCGGAGGGATCGCCGGTTCGGTTCTGAATCACCGCAATAAAGCCAGCATGGCCCGGTTCGCCGGTGCACCCAAAAGTTCTACCCGGGGAGAAAAACCAGAGCGCTGCCCTGGGTCCAGGAACAAGCGGCCAGCAGCCCCTGCCTGGCGATCAGTTAGGATGCAGCTTTCACCCACCGTTGTGATTTGAACCAGAGAATGCAGTTGCAGGGCGTGCACTCCATCCCATAATAAGGGATGTTTGTTATTTGTTAGCCCAGGAGCCCCTGCAATAGAGTGCATCTTCGAAGACTAGTTGCTGTACACTTAATTACGCGCGCACACACACACACTTCCTCACCTTCCTCTATGAACATGAAATTCATTACAACCTGTTCTCCTTTGTGTTGTTGTAAATGTTAAGGGTCTTCAAGGCAATGATGACTCATAGCAACCCTATAGGCACAAAAGCTCTGAAACCTGCTCTATCCTGAGCCAGTGGGTCTTCCTCTCCCCCACTGTCCCTCCACCCTTCTCAGCATGATATCCTTCTCCAATGACTGGTTCCTTCTAGCTACATGCCTCAAATACTTGAGATGGAGTCTAACCCCAAGTTCTTCTGTTGAACAAGCCTGTGAGTAGTAGGGCCCCACCAACCCACTTCATAACCTCCCTTGCAGGCTCTGTCTCTTTCAATAAGTTCCTCACTGTGTGGGAAGTTCCAGTGTCTCAACTGACCATTCTTAGTAGGGAGAGAGAGAGCTTCTAGCTTTGTAAAAGAGAAAATTCTGTCTTACAACCAAACCATGGATGGCACCGACAGCCTTGTAAGAACTTAAGGGTTGTCACAAAGCTCCAATCTGTGAAAACAATTATCTGAAGAAGCGCTGGTAGCCCAGTGGTAAGAAACCGTGCTGCAATCCAAAAGGCTAACAGTTTGAATCTACCAGCAGTTTGGTGCTAGGAAATTATATTTTCTACCTATACTTGGACCAGCATGGAAGGAGGAGTGGCATCCACTTCCATAATAGCTTGCCTCCGGAAACCCTATGACCTTGGAAAGAGGATGAAAGGCACCCAAGCGTCAAGGACTCCCCTTCATAGGGTCGCTATGAGTCGCCTGCGACTCGCTGGCACTTAACAACAACATACATGGACCAAGAGGCAGTGGTCAGACGGAGCAAGGAAACACTGCATGGTTCAAAATTGGGAAGGGCGTATGCCAGGGATGTGTCCTGTCTCCATACCTTTTCAACCTGCATGCAGAACAGATTATCCGGGAGGCTGGGCTCTATGAGGAGAAATGTGCTGTCCGAATTGGTGGAAGATCTATTAACAATCTGCGATATGCAGATGACACAACCCTGCTTGCTGAAACTGAGGACCTGAAGCGCTTGCTGCAGATGGTCAAGGACTGCAGTCTCCAATATGGATTGAGACTCCAATATGGATTGAGGCTCAATGTCAAGAAGACAAAGATTCTCACCACTGGACCAATTGGCAGCATCAGGATGGATGGTGAAGAGATTGAGATTGTACACAGCTTTAGCTTGCTTGGCTCCACAATCAACACTCTCGGCACCAGTAGCCAGGAAATTAAAAGACGTATTGCCATGGGAAAGTCTGCTGTTAGGTACCTCTCCAAAGTACTGAAGAGCATCATGGTGTCTCTCTGGACACTAAGGTGCGTCCGATACAGGCTGTGTTCTTTGCTATCACTTGTTATGCATCAGAGAGTTGGACAATAACTAAGGAGAATAGAAGGAGAATTGATGCCTTTGAGCTGTGGTGCTGGAGAAGAGTATTGAGAATACCATGGACTGCTAGGAAAACAAACAGATTCATCCTGGAAAGGGTCAAACCAGGCAGCTCCTTGGAGGCAAGGATCCTGAGGCTCTGTTTCACATACTTTGGACATGTTGTGAGGAGAGACCGGTCCTTGGAGAGGGACATCATACTTGGGAGGGTGGAGGGACAGCGCAGGAGCGGAAGGCCCTCTATGAGGTGGATTGATTCAGTAACGGGTAATCGGGATGGGTGTGTCGGAGACAGTGCAATTGGCAAAGGACAGAGCAGAGTTTAGGGCTGTTGTACATAGAGTAGCTATGAGTCACAAGCGACTTGACGGCACATAACAACAACAACAACGTGTATACACTGAAATTGTTAGATATATACTGAAATTGTGCCCACTTGAATTTCCTGTTTAGATTATTACCTCAAAAACTAATATAGATATCCATATACTGGTATTAACTATATAGATTTAAATAGAACATGTATACACAAAACAACTGTGAGATACATTTTTTACCCTGTTTGGAAGCCATGAGGCAATGGGTATTGAAGCTTGAGAACTGAAGCAACCATGTCTGAATCCCCAAGCTGCCTCTCACTTCCCAACTAGTCTTGCCTCAATGTCTCCTTTGTGGAATGAGGCACACCAAGTCACTCACAGCACAGAAATACAGGGAATCAATGACGCTAACTCAAGTGATGTTCCCAGGATCAGGCAGGGCTCAGAGTGAAGCTGCAGCAGATGCTGGCTAACCTGGACAGTAATCTGAAATCTCTCAGATCCTGTTTGTTCATCCTCCGCCAGGTGGGGCTGGAGTGTGAAATTCATTGTGACTTGACATACTAGAGCTGGAATCATCACCACCCACGTTACATGGAGACCTGGTCACTTTTCCAGGTGCACTAAACTTCTCCCTTTCGGAAATGGCTTATTCTCCCTTTCGGAAATGGCTTACTCCATCCCCAAATGATAAAAAAACACCACCACCAAAACACTTCTTTTGACATTTGGGAGTAGTCCTCTGACCAAGATCTTCCAAGGTTAATTTGCTTGTTGTTGTTATGTGCCGTCAAGTCGTTTGTGACTCATAGCGACCCTATGTACAACAGCCCTAAACCCTGCTCTATCCTGTGCCAATCTCATTGCCTCTGACACACCCATCCCAATTACCCCAGTTTGTGAAATTAAAATTCAAGAAGCCACATTATAGTTTATTGTGATCTTGATTCAGTCCAAGGTGATTAATGAAAATTGCCTCTACTGTAGTTTATATTTCAAGGGTAGCACCATTTAGAGACAGCTACTGCCTTTTAAAAACATAGTATCAACATTAAGAGATGTTTCTTTTTCTACCCATCATCCTAGGGCATCTTGGGTCATAGGATTTCATCAGATAAATTCTTGACTTGGTTCTGCTCTCACACACTGGGTGTATGGGCGAGGATCCTCTGCATCCAGGTGCTCTGGCCATCTTCACCTGCCCAGGGAGGCCAGATAGGCATACCAGAACAGAGCCACGAGGTTGGCAAACAGAACCCGGAACTGCCGAAGAGAGCACACGTGAGTAAGATTTCCCCCCTCACCTTCCTACCATCCATCTTCTCTCGTGTCCTGTGAAGGACAGTCCTCTGTCTAAAGCATGTCATTGCTTCTGCTCAGAGTCTAATCCTGCCTCTTTAGGGCAGCACTGCGGATGTGCGTGTCTACCCCACAAGCAGCTCTACATTAGCATCTAACCGCGGGAACACATCAAGCCAAAATCCTAACCCATCCTTCTTCACAAACTCACTGAAAGAAATTTCTAGACTCGTGGTATCTTCTCTGCCCCATCCACTCTGACTTCACTGCTGGCCGCAGCCCCTACACTCCTCTGAAGTTGCTCTTGTGAAGGTCATTGCCAAAAGCGTTAGAAACCTCTCCATTTTTGTGATTTTACTTTTAAGTCCCTGCAACATCTGTACAAAACCAAGGCTCAAAGAAAACTACAGGTGGTTGAAAGAAAGCAAAAACCACATAAAGAGCTAACAGAAAATGTTCTTTGTTGGAGAAAACAAACCAAACCTATTACTGTTGTGTGAATTCTGTGTCTTAGTCACCTTCCACTGAGTTTGTGAGCTTGTAAATCCTAAGAGGAGCAGACTGCCTCATCCTTCTTCCATAGAGAGGTTGGGGGCTTCAAACCACTGACTTTTCCATTAATAGCCCGACACATTACACACTATGCCACCAGGGCTCCTTGTGGGAAGCTGACATTCTCTGAAGCCCGAGTGCAGAAGGCCAGACTGGGACCCTACCTGCAGGGGGATGTAATTGATGTTGATAAACTGGATTGGTGTCCAGACTCTCCAGTTCATCTGCAGTGCTGGCCAGAAACTTTTACTCATCTTCGTAGAAAAGGCGGCCATGTCTTTTCTCTAGGAACAATCGAAAATGCAGGTGGTGAATCATCTTGTTACCATGGCACCGAAGTCTGGAGGTCCTAATGTGAGTCAAACAAACAAACTATAACATTTCATTTTGTCCCGTTTATGAACAGACAGTGCATTCCCGTATCTTTTACGAACAGTGCAGATATAAGGAGCTTAACCATCCAGTTGGCTGGGACAGGGCGGCAGCAGAGTGCTCTGCCTGTAAGTGCTTGTCCAGGACCCACATCCCTACTCACACAGCTCCTCTGAGGGGGCTTACACTGCTCTCCTAGCACCAATGCTGCTGATGGCTTAGTGTCAAGTGTTGTCAAATTAATCTCCCAAGCAGATGCATTGCCAGTTAAAACTGGTCAGGCCTTTTAAAAAAACAGGCCTTGATAGATGGAGCCTTACATGTAATTTAAAATGCATAGAGAGGAGAAAGTTGTTTTGTTTTGCTTTGTTTTTTTTAAAAAAGACCAACTTGACAACAAAATATGATAAAAATGATGGTAATGTAAGTAGTCTGATGGAGACAGGATGTGGGTGGCATATCTATAGAAATAAGAGGAATCTCGGGAACCCGCATAACAATAACAACTAGGGAGCTCTGGTGGCCTAGTGGCAAGAAGCTGCGCTGCAATCCCAGAGATACACAGTTCGAATCCCTAGATGATCTGCTGGAGAAGGAGGGGCAATCTCCTCCTGTACCAGTCAGATCTGATTTGACAGTACACACAAAAAAATAATAATTTTTAAAAAAATTTTAGTACACTGATAATGTTCACAAAACAGTAATGAAATAAACTTCTAAGTGGAAAAAAAATCACCCTCCCATAAATTTAATTAAAGCATAAGGATACCAGACAGGGAGGAAAATAGTAAATGAAAGTATAGGAAATTATTTCCATCATCATTAGAGTATCAAGATGTACAAAATAAAACCGGAAAAGTAAAACAGAGTAAGATTATATTCTCTTCCTTGAAGGCAGGTCATAAAAGAGGGCTGATGGATCTGAATAAAAGAGTGAATTTTAAAAATTCCATGCAGAGGAAGAAACTTTAAGTGATGTTTTATGTGTAACTTTGTGTAAATTTTTTTTAACTTTGTGTAAATTTTTAAACTTTATATGACGTTAAAAAACCAAAATTCACTGTTGTATAATCTGTTCTAACTCAGGGTAGGGTAACCCTCCAAAGGGTTTCAAAGGTGGTCCATTTTGGTGGAAGGGGGCCACCTCATTTTTTCCTTCAGAACCGCTACTGGAACCATAGACTTTTTTTTCTAGTGGCCCTGTGCCACCAGGGCTTGAGAAGTTAAAAGGCAAACTTGAAAAGCGATTGCTATTTTTAATATATAAAGAGTTCTCAACAGATAAAACAAGGGCTCTAAGAGAAGGAAGGAAGGGAGGGAGGGAGGGAGGAAGGAAGGAAGAAAGGAAGGAAAGAGGGAGGGAGGGAGGAAGGAAGGAAGGAGAAAGAGAGAGAGAGAAAGAAAGAAAGAAATTCTTTTATCCCTTGCCCTAGAAAAGGGGGGGAAAGTCCCAACAAATGCTCCAATAAAAAAAGAAAAAAATTGACAAGCATCACATAATAGCTGATATAAAGGGTGATCACCTTCACAAATAAAAAGCTCTAAAATGTTTTTACTTATTAAATGACAGATTGTTCTGAGGAATAATAATCCAGTAGCAGGAGGGAGAAGAGCAAGATGCTGTAAGAGCTATGCTGCCGAGTGCAGACCTGGGAACCACGTACGTGGGGCTGTGATTACAGTACACTGTTGCTAGGAGCACAGGGACCGCCTTTAGAGAACAGTTCTAGGACTTAACTGGACAAGCAGCCTTACAGGATAGACACAGGCCTGATATGGTGCAATGCGTGCAGCCTGTGACATGTCACGATAGGGGACTGCAGGGTGCAGAAGCAGCTGGAACAGTACTGTTGTGGTTACAGTACCGGTGCTGTCCCGGTCAATTCCAACTCTCAACAGTCCCAGGTTCAACAGAACAAGCTGCTGCCCAGCCCTGCACCATCCACGATCATGGTTAACTCCAGCCCTTCCCAGCCCTCCACATTCTCCCATGGCTGCTGGGTTAAGAGTTCTCTGTCCTAAATGAAGAACTATCCCGGACCCACCTCTAGAAAGTTCATGACGAAGAAGAACAACAACAGGAAGGCCGGGGCAAAGACCAGGCGGTCCAGAAGGAGCCTCTTGACTCCTGCCAAGGGAACCTCAGAGGGGATCCAGTGTTCCAGGAAGAGGTAGAAGTAGTGACTCAGCGGCCCTGTGAAGAAGAACCTGCGGCCCCAGGTGGGTGTGACCTGGACGGGGCTCCTCTGGTCCAGCTTCACCCCGGATCCCAGGTGCTAAGCCCCACCTCCTCAACATACCATCAACACTGACTGTCCAGCTTAGCAGGACCAAGAAAGTGTGTTTTCTTTGACGCTGCTTCAGGCATTCTTTTTGCCTCAACCAAATGAGATCTGTCATGTCTTGTCTCTCTTCCATTTCCATTTCCTATTCCCTTTACTCACAGTGTTCTCTGCACCTTGTCTTGTGACCAACTGCTTATCACCGTTATGGGCTCCAATACCCTCCTCTGAGAGGCTTCTCCCATCTGTCAAGCCAGCATGTGCTCCCATGTCCAGCCACTCAGGGCCCTCTTCTACCTTATGAAATACAGGTGTCCCACACTTACATAGTTCTCTCATCTGCTTAGTTACATAGTGCTCTCTTTTCACTCTCAGGAAGGTAAACACCACAAGACAGAATTATGCCTGTCCCATCTGCCATCATGTCCCAGTGCCTAGAATAAGGGCTAGCTTGTAGCATGTGCTCTGTGATAAATAAACAGGTGCACCATCAAAATCTCTATAGGTGGCAAGCTCTAGTGGCCTAGTGGCAAGAAGCTGCACTGCAATTCCAGAGATGTGCAGTTTGAATCCACCAGATGCTCTGCTGAAAAAGGGACAACCTCCTCCTGTACCAGTCAGATCCGATTTGAAGGGACACACACACAAAATAATAAAAAGAAATTTTTTTTTAAAAAATCTCTCTAGGTGTAAGGATAAGACCTGGAGCTGCCAGTCGCACATGGGCTGATGTGTGTTGCTACTACAAATTCCCAAGGATATGCACTTTGGAGAGAACTGAAAGCCATGTCTGCTGAGATAATAGAATCTAGAGCCCCTTGAAATTCAGCAATGAAAAAAAGGGCTGGGACTACGGGGTCTTTCACCTTCAGCTCTGAAATATCCTCTCAACAGGTGGTTCCTGGTTTTCCCTCCAACTCTACCACAGGATATGAGATGGCCTGATAGCAGAATTCATGGTAGTAAAGAGAACAGAAATCTTAGGAATGGGAGAACTCTAGTGAAATTTGAAAAAAAGCTTTTTGTATAAAATGGTTTGCTCTTATCTGTTTTTAGTTTTACACCCACTGCCCACCGCTGTCGAGTCAATTCTGATTCATAAGGAGATTGCCTGTTTTTCTCCTTCAGAGCAGCTGGTGGATTTGAACTGCCAGCCTTTCAGTTTATCAGCCCAATATGTGACATACTACACCACTGGGCCTCCGCTTAGTTACACAGCATCTTCTTTTCGCTCTCTAGAGAAGAGATACCACTCTCGAGAGGTAGGATTATGTCTGGAACCTGCACTAAAGCCTAGCACACGCAGAATTACTGCTTGAAGTAAGTACGATAAGAAAAGAACCATGACGCCTGGCGTCAGCTCAGGTTCCAGCAACACGGAGGTTCGTTCTGCTCCTCACACTTGGCTTGCTCCCTCCCCAGGACCTCCACACTTGCTGTTCTCTGTATGCTGAATTCCTCAAACATTGAATTAAAAATGCACTAGCTGCAGAAGACTCAACATAACCCACTGTAACACTGTTGTTAAACAGAATGCTCACACTGGATTTAATTGGTAAAATTTCTGATTCTTTAATTAAGAAAGTGGTTCAGAAGCTGAACATTCTTCAGGCTATCTATGTATTTCTTTTCTGGATGTTTCTACTATGAAAACAAATAGTCCTCTTTCACGTTTGTGTTTGTTTTTCTCTTCCATGAACACAGGTTCCAGTGAGCTATCTGTCCTTGTGTCTTTGCCCAATTACAGCAGCCACCTCCCACTTCCCATGTCCAATTCTGAAAGGAGTGAATTAGTAGCGATAGCTCTATCACCATTCTGATTTTCCCATGATAATTACTCCAGTGCTTTTTAAAAGAAATTATTTTTGTAAATTAAGATTATTCAATAAAATTGTTTTGGGTGCTGGCTTTGTTGGCATTTATCCTGACTCTTAGTAAAGCAGCCCAATGGCACTCACCCGTAAATGGCATATCTGAGAGGCCCACTGGCATCAAGATTTTGTAAGCAATTTTCTTTTTTCCGGTTCTTCTCAATCATCTGGGCCAGGAGGTTTCCAAGTACTGACAAAAACCCACTGAGGGCAGAGAAGTGATCAGAAAACAGGAAGAGTCAGTGGGACACTGACCCTCTTACTATATGTGAATGACAAGTAAAATGGGCTATTTGGTGGCTTGTCCCAATATCAATATCCTGGTTATGATGTTATAATTTTGCAAGGTGTTACCACAAAGGGAAATGGGAAAAGTGTACAAGGATCTTTATTATTTATTACCCCTCCATGTGCATATCCTTATCATAACAGAAGTTTCCATTTTAAAAACGGTAGAGATGACAGCTCCCTCCATTCATTTAATCCTCTTTTCAGATGTCACCTCCCCAGGAAAATGGACCAAAAACTTCCCACACAACTTTATATATTTGCTTTTGTTTAGTTTGGGTAGGAACTTTTGATTGCTGTGTATCCAGTACACTGGAAGCACTCTGTATATACATTTTTATAAAATGCTTAATTAATGGAAAAAATTAACTTATGAAATCAAATAAATGCAATAAAAGCCAGAGATATCTCATAAAAAGTTTAGTCCTGGGACTAACATCAGGGTTGAGGGAAGACAGAAAAGGAGGGGAGGAATGATGTATATTGCATTGAAACAGATGAGAGAACTGTTTAAAAGTGACATATGAATGAGTATTCTTGTCATTACAGAAGTCCACACTGAAGGCTGCATAGTGGAGTGGACTTGGGGGAAAGGGATTGCATAACAATGAAAGAGTTTTTCTTTTTCAAGAAGAGTGAATTGGAGGGAGGGATGGGTAGGGAGAAAAGTGCAATAATGAATGACTGGAAATCCTAAGTCTCTATAAACTTTGATTAAAATTTATTTTAAAAAAGGTTAAAAAAGAAAAGTTTAGTTCTCCAAAGCAAAGAGCAGAGCTTTGTGTTGGCACGTAAATCACAAAACTCTCCAAGTCAAAGAATCTCCTACCCTGTCCAGGCCTTCCCTGAACACGCTAATGCTCAGAAGATACGCTTGCGCATATCTATGGGCTGTAAACTGAGTCAGAATTGACTCCTGGCTGACCCTTCTGCAGATTTTCAGAGGCTGTAAATCACATGGGAGATTGCCCATCTTTATCCACGAGACCATAGAACGCCATTATTACTCAGACCTCAAAACCTCCCATAGTTGGCCCTCCCGTGGGTTTTCAGAGATTGTAAATCACACAGGGAAGATTGTTCATCTTACCTCCGTGGAGCAGGAAGTGAATTTGAACTGCCTGCCTTTAGTTTAGCTGCAGTAGGTCACCAGAGCTCCCTTTATTACACTAAGAGTTACTTCTCATGACCGAGTACACAAAAGAAAATACACTGGGCTTTGTGATTAAGGGCGTTAAAGGGTCACTGGACACTTGACAATTTGGCCTTTTGCAAGCTCTGGTGCTTGGGCTGTGTGGGGCCACGCTGGAAGCTGACCGTCCCCCTGGGACCTGCCCTGCCCAGGGCTGATAGTGCCCATAGGGTGATCATACTCCCGGGCTGGCCCGGGAATGACAATGCCCCGGGGACTCACAGTTGCTGTGCTTGGGCCTGACAGTGGCCGCAGGTGGATCGGACTCGGGTTGATCGCTCCCCCCCAACCTGAGTGCCTAGGGGTGACAGTGCACACTGAGATGACCTGTGGTTTCAGGCTGTCAGTACTCAAGCTATCCTTGCCTTGAGACTGACAATGCCCGGGACTGTCCACAGCCCACGGTGACCCTGACCCGAGCCCAGCAAAGCTGCCCGCGCCGACCTGGTGGCCGCCTTGGTGAGCACCGGGTAGAGCCGCAGGAGACGCAGGTACTGGACGAGAGCCCGCTGCGGAAGCGACCCGAGCCTGGTCTCCGCTTGCAGCTTCGACACCACCGGCGCCATCGCTTCTCTTGCACCCAGATCGCCTGGATCGCCAACCCCGTCTCAAGTCCGCGGGGTCCGGGGCGCAGGGCGCGGGGCGGGGACAACCTGACATTTCCCGCCTGACAACTGACCGCAGCGTCTCCTTGCGGGCCCCGGCCGAACCCAGGGTGCACACTCTTTACCCTCAGTCCCTAACGGGCCACCTCCCCTCAGGCGCTGACAGCGATTGGCACTTCGGGGGGCGGGGCACAGCCTGCGTACAGCCCACCCCGGGGCTTTGGAGGGCACCACCCCTCGGGCCTTGACGGTGATTGGCTCTCCGAGAGCGATGCGCCTGCGCACAGTTCACTCCCTGACGGGGAGAGCACCGCCCCTCGAGCCTTGTGTTTCATTGGCTCTCCGCGGGGAGGGGCGCACCGCCCCTCTGGATTGGACAGTTTCTGCCCCTGTGCTTCCGGTCTCTCGCGAGAGTTGACCGGAGCGCGCCAAATTTCTGACATCAGGCTCCTCAGATCGCGCCCGGGAGCGGAGCAATGGTCCTGCAGAACAGTGGGCGGCTGCGTCCGGAATCGGGCGCGGACGATGAGGCCAGCCGGTGAGAGCGTGGCCGCGGGCGTCCGCAGGACCGCACGGTGTTTGGGGACTTTCTGATGTCAAGCTCTCCGGAGCTGGGCACCGTGGGGTTGGTGGAGAGACACCCAAACAGATGCAAAGGGGTCGTGTTTGTGCTGCAGGCCAGGAAACCGCACAGCCAGTGTGGAAGGCTGCAGAAAGGAGACGGGGCCAGCGACAGCTGGGTGTGGGTGGTGACCAGGGTGTGGGTGGTGACCAGGCGGTCTCTAGGCTTGCAATAAAGACAATCCTTTCTCGGGCTGGAAAATCGCTTGACATTGGAAGATTGGGCCCCATGTCCACACGTTAATCGTTTGATTGTCCGGTTTCTTGGACGCATGTGGACACTTGGAGAAAAGTCAAGAATAAACATTTCCTTCTTAGCCTTTGATTGTTGTTGACAGTTGTTAATGAAGAAGAGCCGTAGAAATGACCTTTCCCCTGGGTCGTTTTGGTAGCTCGTTTAGAACATTCCCCAGTCTCCGACTAAGATTTAAAAGAGGGCTTTTTGCCTTTTTTTTTCTCTCCTCTGCCCTTTGTCATCCACAAGCCGAGGAACAGCTGCTGGTGGATGGACAATAATTGCTGTTCTTGATGCTTTCTGTTCGGGGTGACATCGTTAGGACAGACTGGGTTACTCAGTTGAAATTCTCCCTTTTTCTACATCACTGGTTTTACAAAGACATTACCTCTGGTGTTTTTCTTACTTTGTTTTTGTGGAATACAGAGCACGCACCACTTTGAGAAGCACATCTACGTTCCTTGAAAACCAATCCCGCCTGCAGTGGTGGAACTATATAGGCGCAGGCCGACCTGCCCATAGGGTTTCTATCTAAGGCTTGAGTTTTACAGAAGCAGACGCCCACCTCTTTCCTGCAGAATGGCTGCTGGATTCTTCTAAGTCGTATCCGTAATCTTTCACCCACGCAGTGGAGTGCATTTTCATTGTCAATAAAACACCAGTAAACATCTTTCTTTCTTTTTTTTTTTACATTTTTATTAATTTTAATGAAAGTTTACACTTTGGATTTCCATTCATTCATTGTTGCACTTTTCTCCCCGCCCAACCTCCCCTCCAGTTTGCTCTTCACTTTGAAAAGTAAAAGAAAAACTCTTATTGTTATACAGTTCCTCCCCCCAAGTCCACTCCACTGTGCAGCCTTTGTTCTGGACTCCTGTCATGACTATAATACCTAATCATATATCCCTCTTAAACAGTTCTCTCATCTGTTTCAATGAAGTATACATAATTTACCCCATCTTTCTCAGTCTCCCCCCAACCCCACTGTCAGTCCTGTTTTACAACAGTGGCACCATACAGTATTTGTCCTTCTGTGACTGAAATATTTCACTCAGCATAATGTCCTCCAGGGTCACCCATTTTGAATAATATTTCATTAGTTCCTTGTTTTTCAATGCTAAACATCTTTCTGTATTCTTTGATTTTAGCCAAGGCTCATCTGGCACGGCCTTTTCTGAATCCAGCTTGAGTTTCTGACATTTCCATGTTGATGAACTGCACTAGTTGTTTTTTGATAATATTCAGCAAGATTTTTCTTGAATGTGATAACTGGTTTTGTTTGGAGTTTGTCTTCTGCTTCCACATTATATGCTGGATCACCTACTTTATGCTGGATCACCTGTTTTTGGAATGGGGAACCATATATGGACCTTTTCTAGTCCTTTGGACAGATTATCTTACAAATTTTTTGGCCTAAATGAATGAGCAAATCCAGAGGCTTCTGTTTCTTTTTTAAAAAAAAAAATTATCTTTTATTTTCACATACCATCGAATGAGCTATGACTGGCACAGAAGGAGATTGTCCCTCCTTCTCCAGCTGAGCGTCTGGTGGATTTGAACCATGCCCTTTGGGATTGCAGTGCAGCTTCTTTGCCATTAGGTCACCAGAGCTCCCTGCATCTGTTTCTTTAAACACCAAAGTTGGTATTCCATTAATTCCTGGAACCTTATTTTTTGCCAGTACCTCCAGTGACGTGTGCACTTCTTCCTTCATTGCTACTAGTTCTTGATCATATGCTACTTCCTTAAATGGTTCATCGTTGACCAATTCTTTTTGGTGCAGTGACTCTCTCTCCCTTCCAGCTTTTTCTGATGATTCCTGTGCCAATAATCTTTGGCTGTAGAACTTTCAGTATTGCAACTCAAGGCTTGAATTTTTACCTTTGGTTGTTGTTTCAGTTTGAGAAATGCCCAGCATGTTCTTCCCTTTGGTCTTCTAACTCCAGGTCTTTGCACATTTCCTATTTTTTTTAAAGATTTTTTATTTTATTTATTTATTTTTATGTTTTTTAATTTTTTTTTAAATTTAATTTTATTATTTTTGTGTGCGTGTACTGTCAAATCAGATCTGACTGGTACAGGAGGAGATTGCCCCTCCTTCCCCAGCAGAGCATCTGGTGGATTCGAACCGTGCACCTCTGGGATTGTAGTTGCAGCTTCTTGCCACTAGGCCACCAGAGCTCCCCTATTTTTTATTTTTGTGTGAGGGTACCGTCAAATCGGATCTGAGTGGTACAGGAGGAGATTGTCCCTCCTTCCTCAGCAGAGCATCTGGTGGATTCGAACCGTGCACCTCTGGGATTGCAATTGCAGCTCCTTGCCACCAGGCCACCAGAGCTCCTGCACATTTCATCTTTATTCTTTTGAGCTACCTTTTCTTTGGAATCTTTTGTTCCACTCTTCATTTTCTTCCCTTTTGCTTTGGTAACAACTTGTATTTCCTGTTCTTTAGAAGTTGTTGTTGATTGCCTTCGAGTCTAGCAGGATTCATAGTGACCCTATGAACAAAAGACCTGAGTTCCCTCTACAATTATTGACATTTATCAAAGTTCATAGAGTTTCTGGAGGCATGTTGTTTGGAAATGGATGCCACTCCTGCTTCCCAGAAGATGCATATGAATATCTTTTAGAGATCAAGTACTAGGAGAGGAGTCTATAGGAAAAAAAATTAGTGTATTTGTGTATATACCTGTGTGGAGGAGTCTAAGAAGCAGAATGGTTGGAACCTGATTGTTTTGTAACAAGTATATACTTATTTCTGCTTAATATTGCACAACACCTTGTTAGCAATAAGAGGTGCAATTGTCTCTGCTTGTTGTTGTTGTAATGTGCTATCCAGTCGCCTGAGACTCACAGTGTATAACACCTCCATATGTACAACACCTCTGAAGCCTGCCCTGTCTTGGGCCTGTCTCACTGACATACCCACCCATGTTGCCCCAGTTACTGTATCAGTTAATCCTCATCTGGGTTCTTCCTCGCCTCTGTTGTCCCTACTCCCTCCTAAACATGATTTCATTCTCCAAGAACTGATTATTCCTGGCCACATGCCTAAAGTATGTGAGACAGAGCTTCAAGATCTTAACCTCCAAGGAAAAACTTTGTTTCACCTTCTCCAAGACAGACCTATTTGTTTTCTTGGAGATCCATGGTGTGTTCAAGACTCTTTTCCAGCGCCACAAATCACAGGCATCAATTCTTCTGTCATCCCTAGTCACTGTCCAGTTCTCTGATACATAGCAAATAATTGCAAAGACAATGGCCTGGGTTAGGAGCACCTTAGTCTCTAGACTGACATTGCTTTTTAGTATTCTGGAGAGATCTCTGACAGCACATTTTCCCAGTGCAATTCGTCTTTTGATTTCCTAACTGCAGGTGCCAAGAGTGTTGATTTTGGAGCCAAGCAAGCTGTAATTATTAACAACATTAATCTCCATTTATCCTGGTGCTGCCAATTGGCCCGGAGATGCTTACTGCTTTGTAAAGTAATTAATTTAGTAAAATAGAAAGAGAAAAAAAAAGGGGGGGGGAACAAGAGTTGTGTTTTACATGTATATTTTTGAAAAATGGAACTTCTGGCCAAAAATATACAGACTGATGACTCTCAGGACTGGTTTAAAAGACACTACTAGTCTTTTTATAAGTTAGGATCCTAATACACAGAATGAAATGCTGTCATCATTCTAGTCATCCATATGGAATCATGCTTTTTGGGAGTTAAAACTTTTAATTTGAGGAGCATCTAAGGCTTGGAATCAGAATAGGTTTTGTTTGAATAGTTCTGGTGTTAAAGAGTTTTCATGAGATACTTTATTTAAGATTTATGATAAAAGTCTTTATGAAAAGTTGTTACAATTTTTTAACCAGAAGAGGCTTGACACTTTTGAGGATGCAGATGGATTGGTATGAGAGAGCAGCAGTGAATGAGTTTTGTTGTTTGTTAAGCTATATTCTTCCATAGCATCATGGAACAGTATTGTATCCTCATTTTTATCCATACCCAGAACACTTGTGTGCCAGAAATACATATTAAAAATATTTTAAGATATAGGCTATTTTGCTTTATTTGTGTTTCTGTAATACCAATTAGCCCCTGCGTAATTGA